AAATTTTAATCCAAATGAAAAAACCTAGTCACTCACACAACTTTCCTACCTCTTTCAGAAAAGTTTTTATGTCTTTAAATATGTCCAATAAGTAAAAAATTGAATTAATTTTCCTGAAAATTAATCAAAGAAAACATTTGAGTACGATTTCATTGATAAAGTAAAGGAATGTAAACCGGCTTGTGGAAGATCAGCTGAGAGCACACACTTTGAGTCACAGGCATCAATAGTCAAAACCCTAAAAAATAAAAAAAATAATCAACAAAATCGGTCAATTAGTTTCCGAGATAATCTTGCTACAGACACACCCATGGATGAAAATGTGTTTTTCGGGGGCCTCTGAAACTTATAGATTCGTCGTAAACAGCACATCTGAAATTTGACCCAATCGTAGTACTTTCTTTACCTAGTATAGCTAGGAAAGTAAAAATACTTTAATTCGAGTCGATCCGACTTTAGGGTTTGGTTCGGAGAAAAAAATGGTTTATGGTTCGAGAGGGAAAATATTAAAATTGTACTTTAAAAATTGAACCTTTTTTTTTATAGTCATGGTTTAATAAAATAAATCTATTTCTAATTTTTACTCGATTAAAAAGGTTTTTTAAGTGAAAACTTTTTTAGGCGCTTTTTATACTTTTTTTGTGGAGAGTGAATTAGACTGGTCCGTCAGATTTCGTTCGGCATTAACGCTTGGGTAAAGTTGGCTAAAGTCGACTGATTAAAATATCTCAGAAACTATAAACCTGTATACTGTAAGCGAGGAAATTGTTCAGCATTTCATCCTTTCTGTAATAGGCTATAATTCAAAAATGTGTCTTAACGCGACGCCGTGTTAGGGAGGCGAAAAGGAAAAAATAGTGTTGAAAACCAAATGATAATGTTAGGTGAATATATGGATTAAAATATTTCAGATACTAAAACCGGATCTGTATACTGTAAGCGAGGGAAACGTTCAGCACTTCATCTTCTTTATAATGAGGAATTATTTATAATTTATATTTCATATTATTAATCCCGCCTTGTTGATGTTTTTACTTGTATCGTGTGGTCTAAAGCACACACCTTAGTTTTTTTTTTCTCTCTTCAAATATGTATGTCCGTGTAGTTTAATATGGAATTTGTGTAAGTATGTGTTGGTCGATAGTTTGTTGTAAGCCAATTTGTAAACATTGTTGTCTACGTACCAGGGAGTTGCTGTTATTAGTCTTAAAATTTTGGATTGAAAATAGTGTAATTTTTGTAAGTGTGTATTTGTTGCTGAATCGTAAATCTTATATCGATATGGATTTGAGTAAGTAAGTGTATGCTTTTTAGCTTTTGTCTGATTCTCGATTTTGATGAAAAATATAATATTTTCTGTCGGTTGTTTAAAGTCTTTCTTTTAATTTTGAAGTGTGAGATGAATAACACGGTTTAAAAAAAAATTGATTTTTTTTTTTAAATACTCAAGAAATGCAGATGTCAATTTCCTTATGCCTTTTTTTATATTTAGGCTCGTTAAAAAAAATGCACATTGGATTCTTTTACTTTTTTGTTTTTACGAAAAAATCGATGAAGAATCACTTGGTAAATAAACTACTTGGAGTAAATAGACATAGTTGTTTTATGAAATTTGATGGTTAAATAAATAATATAATAATAAAAGGCTTAGTGGACCCGAAGGTACGATGCCGACAACACCAATCCCTTATTACACACCTCCCTCCAACCATCGCCGTCCAAACCCAGTCCCTTCAGATCGGCTTTAACGCAACCTTTCCATCTTCGCTTCGGTCTACCACTCGGACGTTTACCATTCGGCACAGCAAATATTAATCTACCAGGATTTTTTTCGTTGCTAAGCCCAACAATTTTACAAGCCCATTTGATTCGCCTCGATGTATATTCGGCATTATGTAACCGTCTAAACTCTCCGGTTAACTCATATTCTACGCAATGCTTTATTCTCAAAATCCATAAGACGTTGCTCATCCCTTAATGTAAGCGGTTACATTAAGTGGTTGCGTTTCGCAACCGAAATTTGATGGTTATGTTTTTTATACACCGAAGTGTGGAATGTTACTTGCTACTTTTTGGGCAATAAGTAATCTCAGAGCAGTTTTTCAGCTACAAGCGACATGACAAGGATCAGCTACAACGATAGGATACACCATCCCAAAAATGAGCACATACGTACACCCTGACAATAAACACTTTGGCTAACAAGGACAGTAATAGAGCCATAGTGATGCTAATAACAATATTGGCAGCTCCTCCTGCCCCAGGACGCTAGGACCCGGGGCCATTAAGACAGGGGGCACATGCGGCCGCATTGTCTGCCCGGCTGCGCCAATTTGTAACTCTAGACCGGTCCTGGTCGTTTTTCCTCGCACGCCCTCGCCAGCGTGAATCACGCCGAATCAATTATTCACCGGCACATCTGTTATTTTCGAGAGGGGCCCGCGACCCCAAATACCAATTTAGATGGCGCATTAATATATAATAAGCCTTGTCTGTTTTATAAGCTATTTCCATCGGTATCGCCGCTTATTGTTGCCGATTTTTCTATCTTCTACGGTAGAGTTGAAGGTTCCTCGAGTCAGTGGTACTGGTAGCTTTGTGCGTACTATTATTTTATAACTTTCTTATTCTAATTCCTTTTCTCAATTCAATCAGATGCTGGCTAATTATTTATTATGTACCAAGGTCTTAATTTTCTGTATACATCATTTTTCTTCATTTGTTCGTTTTATTTGTAGTGAATTTGGAAAAGATTTACTATTACAGAGCATTGTGAATATTTATTGTTTGTTTTTCCATTTTTTATTTTTCCTATTCATAAGTTCGTCTTTTTTTTAGTTGTATTTCATTTTTTATTAATCTTGGACACACTCATCTCTATTTATATATTTTTTCCTCCTTTCAATATATGTTTCAGTATATAAATTACAATACTTTTCATTTTTTTTTTGAATATCATTATAAATATTTATTTACACATCTTAAGGAACAGATGTAAATCATTTATTTACTCGAGTTTTTTTTTTTGTCTTTCTGTTTTGTTTTTTATCAATACAATGGTTTACTTCTAAAAATAATGTAACATTCCTTTCCGACTTAAATTAGTTATTTTTATTTCATTATACCTTTCGAGTTAATACATGTTATCTGATGCACTGCTCAGCTGTTATAAGCAATGCAGATTTACTTTGTTGAATGCTTTATTGTAATGGATCGAAGACATCACAGCTTGCCCTGGATGGTGAGACTCACTTGCACTAGAGTCAGAGCTCTCTAAAGGTCTCCCTCTCCTAGGTGTTCCTCCATTGAACAGGTCCACAGGTCCACAGGTCCATTGTCCTGTGCCTTAGTTTCTGTCCCGAGCAATAACTCTACTTCTTGCCTCTCTCTCCCACCATCGCCATCGCTCCATGGCATACTCTGTCTTTTTAATATCTTTCTTAATAGCATTCTTCATAATGTTATCTAGGGATATCTCCGCAAATTTTTATGTCATCCAGCAATTGCACTTCACAACAAAAATTTATCTGTTAAATATTCAAGTTTGACATTGTGTGCAACTTGGTTTGTTTCCACATTCCCAAAAAAGTTGTATGAAAATATTTTTCCTCTGTCTGAAATTGTAATTTCTCTCATGAAGAACCGATAGTTGATGATACCAAGTTTTATTTGAGTGTCCAACTAATGGATCAAATTAATTATCTATTTCTATCCAGTTGTTCTGATAACTTATGGATGTATCGAATTCATCCTCCATTTCCGTTTCATCAATATTTTCAGCAACTAGTATTTTAATGTTCTTACTCTATTTCCCACTTCTAATAAACGCTGAGCTCCCATTTCTAGCTTCTTAAATTCATTTTTGAACTCAGGATCAGTTTTAGCTATTTTCTCTTCAACTAAAGTAGCTAAAGTTGTAAACAATCTTCTCCACTGAACTCTTTCTAATTTGGTAGTTTTCAACTCTTCATCACTCATTATCTTTAATTTACACACATAATGGGATGTCACTATTTAATGTTAGGAAATCATCTCAGGAATAAATGAGGGTTTGTTAAAAACTTTTACACCACAAACACACAAAACACCTTTATTCCTCTAAATAAACATCGCACAACAATGAACAAAAGACTACTCTGCTACTGTGAGTAACCTCACCCAACCCGACCTGCTTCGTTTACAACACCTCAGCAGTGCTGCCAGATAACACGTATTAGCTCAACAACACCATTGTAAATCTTCATCGTAGTAGGGTACCTGAGGCCCCAAAGGCGCTCCCAATGCGACTAAGATCATGCACACTGTTTTAAATACACTATTATGGATAACACAAGATCCCATGATCACACTGTAATGTGAACTGTTATATGGAATCCCGAGAACGATCTAGTATGTTCGAAAGTAGATGGAGGTTACTTTACTAGTTATGTCAGATAAACCCCCGATCTCAATCGAAAAGGACCGATGTAATTACAGCTAATTAATGTCTCGATTTTTAATGAAAAACCAGTAGAAAATATCCCGAAGTCGTAAATCGCGATTTAAATAACATGAGGTTATAGTGTTAACACGAAGTCATTCCTCTTTTATTTTCGGAATCCCATGTATTTCGTGAACATGAGATCCTGGCCCACTGGAAAAGGGTGAATGACATATGTACAGTGGTACCTATTGAGTGAGAAATCATTATTTTGCTTCAATCCGACAACACTTGGCAGTAGATGTCAATGAATTTTATTTATTGTTTAGCTTATCTTCACACAATCTCTTTCAAAGTAGAACTCCAATCTTCCGGCGGTTCATTGGGTTCTTCATATAATATACCCCTGGGCACAGTTATGTCGTATGTTATGTCGTTGAAGAACAGTACTAAATTTAAAAATAAAGAAACAAATATTTGCAACATTTCCTCTCTGCACTGAAATAACTCATTTAAATATATATATCTATATTTCCAGATAAAAAATAAATGGTTTCTGTTTTTTTTTTTCAAAAGAGAAAAATCACCTGTTTTATAAAGAAATTTCCCAAACATGTGACAAAGTCACCTCAATGATTCCAAAATTGAAATACATAACAAACACTTAACGTACACGACATGTTTCTTCAATGCAATTCTAACTAAATTTATTAACAAAATTCACTTACATAAATACTCGATAGATTATGTTAAAAAGAAAAGCTACAGCATCACTTAGCTATAAAATATTCAAGAGATGGTCTTCTTGTGGTGGTGGTGGATCAGGCAAGGTGAGTCCAACAAAATTTATTTTCATGTCCAATCGATTCCACCTAATGACATATCATGGTTGATGAGCACTTTGCTGAGTGTAAATTTGGATCGCATAACCTAAAATAGTAGATTAAGAATGGTCGAAATATTTGATTTAAAATTAATATTGATGCAAAAATTGTCTATTGATACAAGATAAGCAGTTAAAAAAGAAATATACAAACTGTTTATCGTTTGCTAAATTTAAGATAATGCTGGAGTTCATAGAAAATGCCGTATAAAACCTGAGCCGTATAAAATTTTTTAATGATTCTTTCATACATTTTTCTAATTTTAGTCCGTTTATTCGTTCAAGAATGCTGTCCTAATGACGCGAACGACGTGGCAGCCCACAGTCACTTCAGATAATAATTCATATCACATAATAATAAAAGTGAGATAACATTTTCAGATGGAATACAAATTCCCCATAATGAGAAAAATACAAATTTGTAGTCAAAATTCTTGATAAAGTCTCAGGCAAACAAACTTAGTCACTTATCAAATAGGAGTTATAGTCAGGGGAATAGTGAAATAGTCAGGGGAAGAGGCTGAATTAAAACAGAATTTCATTTTTGAATTTACCATTTTCAGCATGACTATTGGCTGCTAGTTACACTGGAAGAGATTCCGGACAATGATTTAGGGTATCTTATTTTGTACTGAAAGAATGTTTGAATAAAATAAAACCTGAGGATCTTTTAACGGGTTATAAATGCTAATATAGAATTGCTGCTCCAATTTGATGAGTAATACTAGATCTCACTATCATGATGTAAGTTTAACCCCGGGCGGGAATAACCGAGTGTCCCCAAAACTAGACGGAGGTGACCGAACGGTTGGGTAATGCTCCGACTTCACCTAAAAAAGAACCGCTGCGGTTCACTTTTGATCTTATCACTTTTGAGCGAGCGTAGTGAGCGGAAGTCGCAGAATCGGTGTAATTAAAGCTAAGGCCCGCATTTTAACATATAAGAACCAGCTGTGAGTTTGCGATAATCATAAATCTCGATCTAAATAAATGGAGGTTATATTGCGAAAATGTCAACACTCGGCCATTTTTGGAATTCCGTTTATAGCCTGATCATGAGATCTTGGCCGATTCGTCAAAGTGGAGCATCACTTGTAAGGTAGTACGGATTTATATAATTCCATCGATATTAAAAAGCTTAGTATCAAAACATCTAACAATTTATGAAAATATTTTAAATTTTAATTTATGATTAAACATTCTTGTAACAGAAACAAAGACTGCCTCGATACTCGTTTTAATGACAATTGGGTATGATTGGACTGTGTCATAACACGTACATATTTATCTTAGCTTTCACTACTATATTCTGTAATTAGTATTTTTTTGTTTTGTTTTTATTTGGTGATAAATTTGTAAAAAAGTATTAAGAGAATAAGTCAAAGAAAACTAGAAAGAGAATAAGTAAAAAACAATTGTTTTTCAGGAAAACGTTTAAAACTGCTATTGCCCATCTCTGGGTCACAACTGTTGATAGATCACACTTAGATATTTGGTAAGTTTTAATCATCCTCTCACAACAAGCATGCCCAAACTTAAAATCGGCAATTCTTGACTTATGCTCTTGATACATTTCTTGTAAATGTAAATAAAATATTTAAATAGAAATAACGAAACTGTAGAACAAACCACAATTTACAAACGTGTATATAAAATACATATTGACGTATTAATTTTTATTTAGAAGATAAAAGTTCAATAGTTCCATTTTTCTAAATTATATATCTTTTCTCTAGAATCCCACAATTCAAAACGGAGTCCATTGAAAGGGAAAACTCAAATTCGTAAAAATTGCATAATTTAAAAAGATATGTTTCAGGCTAACATGAAACGCACCCAACGTTGTTTTTTTTAGTCAAGTCAATGTATTTATAAACTATTTTAATTTATAATCTTTACTGTTTAACTATTTTAATCTGAAACCAAGAAAAGTATTATTTCATATTATTACAAATAAAAGCCTCCTTTATTTATTATTCTTAGGTTTAATTATCTTATGTTTCCCAGAATAGTCGATATAATTTTTATACATTATTTTTGAGAATTTGAAATAATTTCTGTTACAGAAAGGAGTTGTGTTTGGTTGTTATGACGGATGTAACCCTGGCGATTTCAAATTATCCAAAGCAGCAGCTTTATTCGACAGTGGACAATCTGGAAAACTTTCGGAATTGCTAAAAGGGTAAGTGCGATAAAAAACTATTTCTACCTTTTTTAAAATAAATTTTATACTAGTTTTGAGGTTTTACTTAGTGAGTGCAAGTCCAGCACATTTACTATTATCCCGTTCAGAGACGGATATAATATACTTTCAATATGAGGCTTATTGTCATGCCACATAATGTAGAATCTCTTCAGCACAACTTATTTCTTTTGAACTTTATTGGATCCAGAATTGATTGCGCGCCTCATTTGCAACAAAAAGTTTCTTCTTGAGGAGAGTTCCATATTCCTATCGGTTTGGAGATGTTGCCCATTTCATGTTTGCTTCATATTCTCAATAAAAAAAAAGCTGATACACAACTGTAAAATTTTTCTACTGGAACATTTAGAACACATCGTAGGAAATAGCTTCAAGTTCCGTTAAGGAAGGAATATTTTAGATACTAATAGTCAGGGGTGCCCATCCCCTCCCCTCCTCCTCTCAAGACATTCTATTTTTCTACTTTTTTTAAAATCAGAGCAAGCTTAAGTAGAATTTTGAAAATCATAGATCATATACAATTACACTTCCAGTGGTTTGCTCTATTCTTTTCCCTTGTCACCTGATTTCAAACTTTTCATTTTGAAAAATCATGACTCGAAATGCGCCTCACTCAAAAATTCAAAACCCCGTCGAAATGTGCGTCCCTCAAAAATTTTGATAGTGCAACTTGGGGTTCTTTCTGAGCACCCCTGCTAAGAGTCACTGGTTAAGATTCCGCGTAACAGCAATTACCATGGCAGTTGGTAAGAGCTACAGGTGGCGTTACTGTTCACAATTTTTTTTTTGAAAATATTTAATAATTTTTTAATGACATCTAATAAATTATTAATTGGTTATATTTTTAATAACGTTTTTGTCAATCTTCATCGTTGGTTTTCTTTTGATCGCTACTACATCTTCCAGATTAGAAACGGGTTTTTAGTTATTTAGACCTTTTTTTTTACCATGAGGAAGCTATTAATTAATTGGGTGATTATACTTTTAGCACCGGAGTACCTCTCGGCCAGGCCCAGGTCTTCTCCAATTTAGGGGATGACTTCGCCGCCGTTGCAGTGGCAGGAGTCGGCCCTGAAGGAGCTGGGTACGATCCCCTTGAACGGTTGGATGTATGTAAAGAGAATATCAGGATTGCAGCGGGCGTTGGAGCCAAGAAGCTGCAAGACCAGGTAAGTAAATTTTTTTGTCTAGACTGTGTTGGATATTTAGGAGAGAGTTTCAAGCGATTAATCATTCTATAGTTAGTCCCTTAGTGTTGAGATTCTACAACATGGACTTTAAAGCAAGCCGCTATTTTCGAATAAAATTATTTCTATTTGCCGGGTTAAAAATATTCTACTTTCAGGAACGCTCACAGTAACCGAATCTCGCCAAACTCGAATTCCCGTTCATGCTAAGCAAATTCATAGCGATGAAACGCCTAATTTAATTAATTTGAATGAGGAATAGCTTTCGCCAATGCATTTTTTCGGTTTGCATCTTCTGAAGAAAAACATCAAAGGACTCGCATTATTTCCTAGATATTTAATTGGTAGTAGTAATTAGTTACTAATTAGTTAAATTGATTAAAAGAAAAAAGATATTTTTAATTGACTATTGAGACTAAAATTGAAAGATACTTTAATACATAGGACGATCGTGATATGATCATTTTTTTATTAATTGATTGTTTTTATCTCGTGTATCCATCCATAATAATGGATTTATCTCGTGTATCCATCTTTTCAAGCATGAAAAGTAATTTACAAAACATTTGTAATTTATAATTTGTGAATTGCAACTATTAAAAAAAAACTATTGAAGAAAATAGGAAAGATGGTTGAGCTATATTATTAATAATGAAATAGTGTTTTACGAACCTGAGCTATTCCAAAATTATCTAAAATGAGAGTCTGGCTGAGTCCGCCGACCGTGCAATATCTTGTCTGGGAAAATTGTTTGAGTTATTTTTTTTTTGTAGCTCAATTTTGATGGATTGGTATCGACACTTATACTATACTAATGTATAGTGCGGTTTAAATGTTTTAATTAATTCGTAATACGAGAATTGCGGTACGGAAAGCGTCTCAAGTTGAAGTTTATTTCTGAGGAGCTGGGCGGTTATCAGAAGGGAAGTTCAGACATTATTATCTAGGCTTGTATTATTATTGTTTTCATGCTTACTAGGTGCACGGTAGGGGAGAGGGGGGAGGGTCTGGCTCACAGACTACTGTATTATATATTGTTATATTGCATTGTGCTATATTATATTATTTGATGGGTAATATTCATTGCTCATTAATGCGTTTTCTATAGATAAAAAAAAAATCTATATTTAATATCTATAAAAAGGATATTTTGATTCGAGTATAATAAATTAATTGAATAATGTTATATTTTAATAATCACAATGTGTGTACCATTGCATTTTTACTTTGATTTCATTATTGGAAATTAATTTGCTAATATTATATTGTAATAATCAAAATATGTGTATACGCTCCATGTTGTATGGGGTCCGTCCCCAAAACAAATAAATATATATTCCATTCTATATTCTATTCTATACATTTAAAATACCAATGACACTTTGGATTAGTGTTATTTTATCAAAACACTAATATCATTAAAATTAATGAGATTAGTTATTATTTATTATTTAACCAATTAAAACCCGATCAGGACATTAACTAGGTAATAAAATAAATAAAAGTGAGTTATCACTCATTTTATCGAACACTGCCACTAAGGTATATCCGGAAATTTTTAGAATTAATGTTTACCTGAGACAATTAAATAATATAATGGAAGGATGGTTGGGGTGATCAGTCAAATCAAAATGGCAGCAATAAATAATTTTATTTATTTTTACATTCGCCGACGTTTCGACCCGAAGATCAGGCCTTCATTAGCAAGAAGCCTTCATTAGCTGTACAAGAAGTAAAGTCAGACTTACTTCTGAATTCTGGACATAATTCTGAACTGCGTCTGACTTAACTTCTTGTATAGCAGCCCTGATGAAAGCCTGAATATTGGGCCAAAACGTCGTCAAATGTAAAAATAAAACCATAATTTGAATACAAATCTAAGACATCAATGTAGATTCTGTTTCTTTTCTTTTAAATATTGAGGATATTTAGGCCCGGTATATCTTACATCGAATTACTATTTCGAGATATTAAAAAAAAAATCGATACAATTTATATTGGTAATTTTTATATCTGATATATTATAAAAAGTAATAAACGTTAAAAACTGACCAAAGAATAAACTTGTTCAGTTGCCGAGATATGTATCGGCAGTATGTTAAAATTTAAGAAGGTGTTTTAGAATATGTTAATATAAGGACCAGTTTTAGGGTATCAACCAAATACTGGTCGAAGGCTTCACGTCACCGGAGCCCGCTGCGGAGGGGGCTTCCCTCGCTGTTTGGAAGTATCAGGACCTGAAGAACCCGGAGAAGAGGCAGCCCTTGGCTACACTGCTGCACTACGAGCCTGGAGCCGGAAACGCGGACAAGTATGGTGATTTTGAGAACAGATTTCACCTTGAAGTTGGACTCGTTTAAGGACTTGTTTTTATATTACCGTTTTGTCTAGGGAGGAGTGGGAGAAAGGAGTTTGCAAGGCCGAAGCACAAAACTTGGCTAGGTATATAGAAGAGGTACCAGCTAACTTGATGACTCCAACAATATTCGCAGAGGTATAGTAATTGTTTTATAAGTTGGAAGAAATTTTTCTTGCAGGTTTTCTGAAACAACTTATTTCCAGAACATTGAGCGTATTGTTTCATAATTGTCCGAAATGGAGTATTTGCAAGTTTCACAAGTTTTTGTAAAACAGCTTTTACAATTATGATAGATTTACTTTTAAAACTAAGATTTACAAATTTTAACAAAAATCCGTTTGTTAATATTTTGCTTTCGCACTACCGACAGCCAGGCAGCTGTGTATTCGGGAGATTAAAAAAATGTTTTTGCTCAGAATCGTCAACTTTCACTCGCGTATTATGTTTCAGACATCAAGGATCGGTGTCAGTCTGTCTCTAGTCAAATCGATGATGTAACAGATATATCGCCTACTACCATTTTTCCGATTTTCATTTCAAGTATAGGCCTTCATTTCCTGTAATTAATTAGCTTCTTTCATATTCTTATATTTCTTCTTGAGTTAGTTTTGTTCTAACGGATGGAGAGTGTCAGTGAATATGGAGAGGAAGGTTTACGGTAAGTAAGGTACTTGGCTGGCTTTTTTTTAAAGTTTACAAACTTATTAAGTAAAGCTGGCGATATAGCTTTCATGACGTCACGTGGTCTAATAACCATCGAGTTATTACCTTCCTACAGCTTTCGCTGATCATAATTATAGTGTTTTATTTTTTCATGTGGAGTCATGAACCATTTCATTTAAATCCATGAACCCGCAGGCTAATTCTTCAAATTTGCCAACTGTTACTAATTTTTAACGAGCTCAGAATTTTTAACACTGACAAATCGTACAGCCTTAGTGAAATAAGGGAACATACAGCAGGCATATATATATACTCATTACTTATGCATTATTCTCTAAATATAAAAAATAATGCATGATAAGTTGTTTATAAACACGTATAAGCGTTTTGGGGGCGTGGTGGCCGAGAAGGCTAACGCCCTTTATATAACCGAAAAGGCAAGACCGAAGAAACAGTTAAAAATCCACTTCAGACATCTAAGTACATAAAGGGAAAATAATAATAATTTAAGTGACTTTCAACTATTTACAATAAAAATAAATGTGATTATATGAAAGTGAAACAATAGTGGTTGTATTTCACCAAGTGTCATTTAATAATGTTGTGTTTTAATCATTTGGAAGAATTATTAATGAACTAGCTGGTACATCCAAATTAGATAATAAAAACATATTAATATCAAAGTGTTCCTCACAAACGTTTTGATATTTTATTGTAGAAATTTATCATTTATCTTGAAGTAATTTTATTGAACAGAAGACTGAAAATTTGTTTAGGGGTGTTTTATTCCGTAAAGATTAACAAAATGACACGATATAATATACCCTATTTCCGTAAAGAACACAAATCAACAAGGGTACTGAACACCTACAATAGTAAAGCGTGTATTGGATGATAAGTAAACAATCGGTTGAACTTCGTGAAATTATTCCCAACTCAGCTGTCAAACGTTCTTCTAAATATCATTTGATATCCCTGTAAATGAATTCAAATACAAACATATCAGCCTCACCTTTCGGCGCAATTCCTGTCCACTAGTTCATTTTAACAATAGTCAATGTCTACGAAATTTTCCATCAGATTATGAAAATGACCTCCATTTTAAGGTGACGCCACTGTGAGATTTCTCTTTTTTTTATTTTGCCTTCGAATTTAAAAAAAATATAGTAAGGATCAATTCATTTTTCAGCTGAAATAAATAAAATGTTTATTTTATCATTTTAAAAGTTAATTTTAGTTTTCCTTTTCGATATTGCGTTATCCTCTGACAAAATTAATAAGATAAAAATTTCGAACAATTAGCTGACAAATCTGAAAATGGTAGGTTAAATTTATTACCAGTTGCTTGTTTGCCTTTTATTTTATATTTAGTGGTTAATCAAAAAAACTTAAACATGTCGAAACGCAGTGGCGTGATCTTAAAATGGAAGTCATTTTCAAAATCTACTGCTCCGGAAACATAAGAATGCACCCTTACATCGAATAAATCCGAAAAACTTAAATAAGTTGAAAAGCAGTGGCGTAATCTTAAAATGGAGACTATTTTCAAAAAGTGGGCAAATTATAGCATAATACCTAGACACTTACATCAAATAAATCCGAATAGGTACAATATATCGATATCTGAAAGTTTAACATAAAATCGAGAGTATTTTGAAAAATTCTACTTAGGGGAGCATAATAATAGACCCTCATATTGGAAATGGCCTTTATTTCGAAATAAATCAAAGATTTACAAAAAAATCGAAACTTTAATTTGATATGGAAAAGGTTGAATTCGACTGGGAAAAAACTGTATATGACATGAAAATATTATACCGAAAAAATCTAAAAAGTAAAAATAAATGGATATGCAACCGCGTTATCACATTTTCCTGCCTTCGATAATATTCTTCTGCCATTTTTTCTATGCCTTCGATAATATAGCAAGTGATCTTTATTTCGAAAAAAATCGAAATTTTACAAAAATCCAAAAGTTGAATTTGAAATGAAAAAGGTTTATACCATAAGCAACATAAATGATTAAATCACAACTATGATTTCAGAACGCAATTGAAGCCGTATGCCCATGTGGTGCTCAGGTAGAAGTCCACGACTTGGACTGGATTGAGACAAATAAGATGGGGGCATTCGCGGCTCTAGGCAAGACATCCTGTGAGCCGCCAATGTTCTTGGAGCTGAAATATTGTGGAGGTGCGATTGAAGACGAACCTGTCGTTTTTGTAGGTAAGTAGACTTTCTTAGGTATATAAGAAAAGCACTTCTAGAAAAACATATTTTAGCTTTTAAAAAAAAATCGTTATGTATGTTTTTTTCCCATTATTTTATGTGATTTCATTGAGTTTTTCAATATGAAAACTGAAGGTATGTTATGTATAAAAAAATGGCCAAATAGATACACATCCAGATAGCACTGATTAGTATCCATATCATATTTTATATATTTATTTTGAGTACCCCAAGCTGAACAAAGTAAATAAACTTCAAAGTTTTGGGAAAATATAGGTGATGTCATTATTCATTGAAAATGAAGGACCTCAATCTGCAACATTGTCTCATGTGATAAAACAGGTTCTGACATCGTCAGTTTTGAATAATTCCAAATAATTCACCCTGGTCATGTTAATGGAATGAGGTAGGAAGGGGCAGGGCAGGTTGGTATTTATTATTCATGCATGAAACATATTTATATGAATATCGTGTTTTATTGTATCATTTGCCATTTACTATTGACATGTTTATATATTATATATTGTATACTATGCCTATATTTATCTTTATTACTAGTGTTATCTATTACTATTTGTCATATTATTGCTTGCTATATTCAGATTTTAATTATTGTACTATATGGGGTATTATATTATATTTCATTGTTTATATTTAGGCATATAGACAGATGCTTGGTTATTATCAGGAGATGTTGTCACTCAATCCTAATGAATTTTACTTTGTATATAAGTTTTGAATGTTTTTCATATTAATTTGTTCATTGTTATCATTATAGCTAACTCTATTTGTATGGGAAATTCTCCGAAAACAAATAAATAAAATAATAATAATACATTTATTTTGAATATTGTTGATTAGCATAGGTTAGAAAACCAACAATTCAAATATTAGCTGATATAGTAATTTTAGAGCCTGCTATCTGATTTGCATTATTTCACTTGAATGCGATCTTACAAATAATTCTGACACCTCTTCTGTGACATAAATACTAATCAAATTACTATTATCAAATATTTTTTATTGTAATCTTGAATTAAAATTTATTGAAATTTTTAAATTAGTGAATGGATGGATGCCCTGCTCATTTCATATGTTGAAACACCGCATTCGTTATTTCAACGTTCATTCTATTTTACTGGGGTGCTCAGAAGAGGGTTGTATAGCGCAAAATACGCCATAAAAATGTTTACGGAGTTTTGAGGAGGAGAGCGAATTTCGAAGGGTTATTTGGTGGAGCCATATATTTAAGAGGCTTCAATTAAGAGGAACTTTTAAATCAGCGAACAAGGGAAAGATCTAAATTCTCATTTGATTTTCGCTTGCACGGTTGTTAAGGAAAAAGCAATAAAATTTCTTAGACGGACACCCTTCTATATTATTTGCCCAATAAAAAAGATATACCGGTTAACCCTCAGACAGAAAATCTTAAAAAACAAATTTCCAAAGGGATATGAAATTAGATTCTGAATCAAATGGCTCAAAATACACTCACAGAAGAAAGGCTTGGCGATGCCAAGTTGGCATACAGAAAGTTCGATGCCATTAACACTATAATTCGCTACTTATGCTTTTACAAACTAAATCTAAGAGCTCAAACATAATCCTCCTATTAAAGCCGTTTTTCTATCCATTGGATATTAAACCGCAAGTTACGCGCAAATTAAATTTTTTTTTGATTCATTCCTTATGAACTTTAACAACTTTACATTCCCGTTTCAGCCATCGAGATGCTGTTGCTTGAAATATTTCTACAGGGTCCTCAAACTTTATGTGAATAGATTATTTTAGCTAAATATTTAAATCAAAATCAACATTCTTCGTTCTAATCTTAGGTGCTACGTTTCTCCACCAATTTATTTTAGTAGGATGGATAATACTAATACTATTAAAGAAAATAAAGTATTCCAATTTTACAAATTTTCAAACAGTGTGCGATTAGTAGAGTGGAGAATGAAAACGTTGATTTTATAATTCTATATAATGCTATTTGAATAGAAAGGGATTTGAAAACGTGATATAGAACATGTTGTGACTGTTTAAAATACTATGTATATGAATACTATAACAAACAGTGTTATGTTGTGACAGGTAAAGGAATCACCTACGATACAGGAGGTCTCTGCCCCAAACCATGCGATGAAATGTCCGAGTACAGGGGAGACCTTGCAGGAGGAGCTGTGATATTGGGAACCATCAGGTGCATTGCGAGGATGGCCCTCCCAATCAACGTCATCGGTAGAATCTCCATTCACTTTGGAACATAGCTTGCTCAAATACTAAGAATGATATTATCTTCTTCTTTCAGGTCTGATTCCACTCTGTGAACATATGTTCGGCGGATACGCAACCAAGCCCGGAGATATAGTGATACCTTCCAACGGGAAGTCTATCCGGATCGTCGATCCTAACAACGAAGGTTCAGTCCTATTATCTGACGCTCTGATTTACACTCGGCGTCACAAACCTTGCGCTGTCGTGAGCATAGCTTCACTCACCCGTAAGAACTATCTCCTCATAGTTACATTATAATTTATATATATATAAATCTCAATATTGATATTTTTAAAACTAGTTGGAATGAGGTCTACAGTAGGAACAGCTGCTTCTGGCACGTTTACCACTTCGAATGAAATGTGGTTCGAACTAGACCGTGCTGGTGGTGAAACTGGAGATAGATTTTGGAGATTTCCAAATTTTTGGAAAACATATACCAGGAGAGTAACAGGTTTTGTATTGAGCTTTATACAGTAATAGAATATTTGCAGTACATTATTGCAGTACATACACGTTGTGGTGTGGTTACTTAAAAAACTTATATTTCTTGATTTTTAACAATCTTGGAGAGTAAGGTGCAGCCCCATCAGTAAGGCGCACACCGCACCACAATATATGACCATTAAAATTGAATAAAAATAAAAGAAAGTAAAGAGCCGTACGTATTCCAAACGTATTAACCTCTGGCTACCAAAACCCCGTATGGCAAAAATGTCTGTAAAAAAAATGTTTTAACCATCTAATCAGTTGATCCTCTAACATTGTACCAATTATTATAACAATTACTTGTCAAATAGTATTAAAACACGACATTATATTTTAATATAAACATCTTGCACATTTGACAAAATAACTATAATTAGGACCAAGTTGAATACTTAAATCGTTGATAAATTTTAATATTAAACTGAAAAATAACAATTTATTTAGTTTAATATCGGGAATGTTTACTTAAAGAAAATTAATTACTAAATTAAATTCTCGGACAATCTTCTTACAAAAAAGTTATTATATCTTTGAAGGTACCGCCCTTTATGTTTAACCCTGCATGTAGAGTTATGTTACATTTAATTAATCAGAATTTTTCAAAATTATCTAAATGAATATCAGTTCAGCAAATCCATATAATATTGAGACCTATGTTTACCTCCTACTTAACGCTAAGAGAAAATATTTGTTATAAAATTTAGAAATATTTTTTCCCATGTTTTTTTTTCGTCAATTTTAATAACTTTGCTATTTGTTAATGAATAATGTAGAGGTAACTGGCGCTGATATCTGCAATGTCGGGAAAGGAAGTGGGAACAGTTGTCTTCAAGCAGCATTTTTAAAAGTAAGAATTACGATTCTCATATTAAGAATAAACATATAAATTGTACATTATGATATGAATAATATTTTCCTTTTCACAAATTTTGGAATGTTTATATTTATTACTCTTTCTAACCATCGTGATTGTTGATGAGAAAGTGGATTCATAAATCCTACCCAGGATTAGTAAGACGGTCTACTACCAAGTGTGCAATACTGTTATTGGAAATGTTGGCAGTAACCATAAACTCCACATCTTTAAGTCGGCATAGTTGCTAGTATTCCAATATAGAGCTGAAAGCTGAATAATGGCAGATACACAGCAGAGCAGGATGACAGCTGCGAAAATCAAGTGTCTTCGAAGTATTTCTGGGGAAAAAAAAGATACTCCATCAGCAATTAGAGAATCAAAGAGAAACTAGCAGTCCTCTTAGTGAAAGGGGTCGTAGAGACTCACCAGATGAAGTTGTTCGACCATATTGTCAGGATGGAGGAACACCGAGATCCATTGAAAAGTAGGGATTATGCCCCTGACGGTTGAAGGCCTTGTGGCCGACCAAGGATGTCATACCTAGAATACGTCGACCGTATGTGCAAAAGGAAAGGAAAGGAATTCCGCCTAGCCAGGAACCTGGCAAGAAACAGTAAACAGAGGTAATCCAGAATAAACGCTCTACTATGCTGATAGGCACAACAGAGTGCGAAAAAGAAGAAGCAAAAAGTCACAAAATACGTAAATACCACGTGTTGAAAATCTTATTTCTATTCGAAGATTCTGTAATGTTTTTTTTAATAATATGTTATGACTTCCTTGTAAATTTATTTATTTGGTTATATTTTAGGTGCCGTGTGCAACTTTATAGGTTAGAGGCACCATCTTGATTGTTGATTTACATTTCAATATGTCTTATGTATGTAAAATTTTGGATGTGTATGTTGTTAGTATTTTTGTTTAAGGAACGTGTTGTTACAACTGAATAGGTTATTTCTAATTTACGTTGTGAATTCGTTTATGAGGATGATATTGTTTAAATATGTCTGTAGTAAATTGAGACTTTAATATTTCACTTTTACCTCGTAACGGACCAACGGAATACATTTCGAAATTTCCACCCTAACTGAACTATATGTAGGAGGAACCAATCTGGTTGGAGTCCTTAAGGATGACGAATTCAAATAACCAAACAAACTTTATGTGTTTACCAAATCAATTAGTACGTTTTTGCTTTCAGGTTTTCTTAATCTACAATTGGATTTGATTAATCCATATAGTGGTATGCAGGAAAAAAAACTAAAAATCAAATTCTAAATAAAATGAAACTATTTGTCCTTTAAATATTATAAATATTGCATTGAGGATGCTGATGTGAGCATTTCTAATCACTCTACTATTTTATAGATTTTCAACACAGATTTACATAGTTTTTTTGAATAAATATTATTTCTAGATGTTAGTGGGAATCTGGTGGATTCTCAGCTACTTTCTTCTTGTCTCTGGTGCCGCTACCATCTCAATGAACCTTTTTTGATTGCTTCCTCTGTCTCATCAGCGAGTTATTCCTTCTTTAGAAATCACCACTTATGAGAAATCACCCACACCTCTTATGAGCACCTCTATCTGGCGTCTCCACTGAGTAACCATCTCCGAGAAACTCTCTTAACCGACTCCTCTTTCCTAAAAATATTTTTTATTTAATTTTTTCCCCCAGTTCTTTTCTAGGCGAAAGGTCGAATATTCCTTTCCCCCTTCTGTAGAATTTTGCAGAGTTGCCCGGCTCTTTTTGATATCATGAAATAAATCATGTTATGATTTACACGCCGGTATTCCTTCAGCCACCTGCGAAATAGATACCTGGGGTTCAGGAGGTTTGACGCAGATATTGTCGTCCTCCCAGATAAAGGATTGCGTTCGGCCCACGTTTACCGATAATATTTAGTGTTGGCAATATTAACATTTTCATTGCTAGTTTGATTCTTATCTATTTAATTCATTAACTATGCACTCATCAGTACCCACTCTATAGATACCATAATTAGAATTTTAGTTATTAATATGATAACAAAAAAACTTTAATCTCTCCAGGAAATACTGTTATCTTTCTTTGGATTGCTGATTATGTTAATCATAAAGATCTTTTTATAAACTATCAGTATAAATTTTATCATAATTGATAATCGAAAAACATTAACCGATTCCTGCAAAATTGAGGCGTATTTTTTAAGCCAGATAAAATTGAAAAATACTCTCTTCCACACCGTTGAATAATTGATGATGTTAAACAAAGTTTATTATTTTGTTTTTCCTTCCTTCAGGAATTCATCCACGAAGTTGACTTCGCTCACATCGACATCGGAGGGACAGGGATGCTGGCCAGCGGCATAGGCCACCCGTACCTGGCCGCAGGAGTGATGAGCGGTCGCCCGACGAGGTCTATCGTCCAGTTCCTCTACCAAATAGCCTGCCCTCACACCAAAGGAGACGATTGTTAACGAGTTAGCAGCGAGTGTTGTTATATGAGTGTCGTCTATATTTATGCAGTACAAATACTTAATACAATCGTTTCTCATAAACATGTCTTCGTTATTTCAAATTTATTGTATCCTATTAAGTTAGTATATTTTACAGTTGGATTTATGAACATACAGAGGGTCCAAACCTCCGAATATGATAAATATTGCATTCAGGTTAACCATTACCTGCCTCATTTAGGTATGGCAGAAAACATCAGAAATAATTGCCGCCATGCCAGAGGGTGAAATATATTGATAGAATAGATATTTTATTTGTTTTGGGGGTTCTCCATACAAACAGAGCCTAGCTTGGGAATAATATGGTTTTACAAGTTATATACATATCATTTAAATATAAATAAAATTTACAATATTTTATGTTTATAATGGATTATAATAACAATAAAAATTAAAAACATAGAACGATTACTCTGCATAAAAATAGTTATATGAACGTGTTACTATGATAGAAACAATACAAAATTAAAATATTTGGATGTATAAACAAAATATTACTTTTAAGATAAACTAAAAACAAACACTTGATAGAACATGGGCTATGATCAACAATTTTGTGTGTGCACTTTGTGTACTTCCATCATATAATAGTAAATTTATTTAACTTGAATACAATCGATATTCAATATGGTTTCGACGTTTTTGTTATCAGAAGATTCTGAGATGAAGTTTTGTCTATTGTCATTGTATGCTGGGCAGTGAAGGAGAATGTGATTTAGAATATTGTAGATAAATTGACTGCATGATATACAGGTTTTTTGAGACTCAATCGAAAAAGTTTTGTTTTTTGCATAGATTCTGATATGTTCTAGGTTGAAATATATATCAACATAAGACATATTTATTCTTAACATTCTTTCAAATTAACTCAAGAATCAAGAACGTATTATAAAGGATTAGTAAAAATTAAATAGTGGTTTTAATTTTTACTAATTCTTTATAATACGTTCTTGATTCTGTATAATATATAACTTATACGACTGAAATAAAAGAATAAAAAACAGGGAAAAAGGTTGATAAATGACTCATACGGCTTCAGAAACAATAATGCTTTATTTGTGAAGTAATCCTTCTTATATACTTTTAAGGTTTTGTTTACATACCACGAAGGTATTAAGGCTACAGATACTGCCCGACTTCCGTCCTTATCTCCCCCCCCCACTAGTTTACGAAAAGCATTTCGGAAACTTTTAAGTAATTCTCGAGCGGAGCGAACTGTATCAGCCTTACTACCTCGTTCTTAGCACAACTAATACAATGATTGTAGTAATAGAACAAACTGAGGAGTCCACCTCAGTGGACGGTTACGTGGAAGGTTATCGGAGTATTCTATAGTCCGAACGGCATCCGGGTGAACTCGTAATGCCCCCTTTCGAATGTAAATCCTGTTTTATGTTGGTTCTTTGGGTGCATTTTTGTCTGGTGATATCCTGCTTTGAGGTCCAGCGTACTAAATATTACCGCCTCACTCAGGCTGTCTATTATTTCTTCGGATCGAGGGATCGGATACTTTTCGTCTATCGTGTTCTCATTCAGCTTTCGATAATCTATTACCACTCAGTACTTCGGTAAATTCGATGAAGACAGTCAGATGGATGTCCGGCGGTAGTTATAGGGAAAGCTAGCGACTTGGACTTTTTTATATGAATTTGATACTTATGTCTGCCAAAATTTGAATCAATTTTAGTCTTTCCTATCAAAAATATTTTAATTTTAATTTTTGTAAGTTACCTTCTTCATTATCGTTTTAAAGAGCTGGAATTTCATTTGACTGAATGTTTTTTCTTTATAATTTATTATAACCAAAGCCATCTTTACTTTTTTTTACATCATAAATTAATTCTTTATATTTATTTATATTTTCGAGTCTATATGATTTTAACTATTTCTTTTCAAACTTTATTTTATGCTTATATTTTCTTTTCAGTTGAAAAAAATAATATGAAGTTTTTGTTAAAAAACTGTTATATCCTACTCTCCTTCCTCGATCCTTTTCCCCGCAACTCTCCTTCCCAACATCTCAGTTATGACTAATATCCTAAATTCCTGTCACGTCAATGCACAATCCCTTAATGCCCACTTCGATGAATTCCAAAAATATTTTCTAGATAATTTTTACCACACAATAGCAGTATCTGAAACCTGGCTGAAATCTTTTATTCCTTCCTCCCTAATTTCCCTCCCCAATTACTCTTTCCTACGTCATGACAGATCTGATCGCACGGGAGGTGGTGTCGGATTGTATGTACATAATAGTCTCAAGGCCAAAATCCTTTTACAGTCTCCTTTTCATGACATCCCACATGTTGAATATTTATTTGTTGAAATTACCTCTATTTCCTCTCCTCTATTGTATGTTGTTGTCTACCGCCCTCCTCGTGTTCTATTTGACCAACTCTTTGAATCCTCCCTTGTCAACCTGGTTTCTTCCTACTCCAATATCATCATCTCCGGCGATTTTAATGCAAATATGCATTCAGAATCTCCCGACAAATACTACCTCAATGACCTAATATTTTCTCTCAATCTTCATCTTGTCCCTTATTCTCCCACTCATCACACTCAGTTCTCTGACACTTGGTTAGACCTCCATATCTCTGACTCACCGCTTAAAATCCTTTCCTCCTCTCAACACCATGTACCCTTTCTATCATCACACGACCTGATCCAAATCTCGTACGACCTACCCGTGCAATCATTTACCCCCAAAATAGTGTCATGTCGGAATCTAAACCTCCTTTCATATGAATCCCTTCAACCTGACCTTGATTCTGCCCAATGGGATACCATATTTTCCTATACCTCCATTGACCCTATGATATCCACCCTTACCTCAAACCTACAATCCATATTAGACGTCCATGCTCCATTGAAAACCAAAAACTTACGTCGCCCCACTGCTCCTTGGCTGACTCCTGAAATAAAGGGAATGATAAAGAGAAGGAATGCAGCAAGGCGCAAATACCGTCAAACCCGCTTATCTGCTGATTATGCGTCCTTCAAACAACTTCGTAATGGAACCCAATCCACAATCCGACTTGCTAAATCCAACTACTTTCATAATGCCCTTTCCAATGCTCCCGATCCCAAATCAAAATGGAAAATACTTCGTAATCTATCCCTACCAGATTCCAATAACCTCATTTCTCTCCCTGTGACTCCAGACGATCTTAATGACCGTTTCTTATCTTTTGCTTCTAATCCTCCTACTCATGATATTGAATACCACAATTTCAATCCCGAAAACTTCTTTTTTTCCCATGTGTCCTACGACGAAGTACTTTCCACTATCCTCAAATCCCACACCAATGATTATGGTCCTGACAATATTCCAGTAAAGCTAATAAAATCCAGCCTTCCTACCCTTATTCCAATACTTTATCATATCTACAATTTTTCATTGCAAAATTCCGTATTTCCCTCTTCCTGGAAAACTGCACTAGTCCGACCTTTGAGTAAAACATCTAACCCCTCCTTACAGAACGACTTCCGTCCTATTTCTTTTCTTCCCAACCTCTCAAAACCACTGGAACGCCTAGTCCAAAATCAACTTTCCAACTTCCTAGAAGAACGTTCCCTCATCAATCCATTCCAATCTAGCTTCCGGTCTGACTATTCAACGCAATCTGCCCTCCTTAAAATAACACATGACCTTCAAAACTCCATTGAACACCTTACTATCCTCATCCTTCTAGATTTTTCCAAAGCGTTTGATACAGTCGACCATAACATCCTTCTTACCAAATTGCAAAATCTTCCTCTATCCAACAGTGTCCTCCGTTGGTTCAATTCCTTCCTTTCCGATCGATCCCAGTATGTAGTCGTCCCAGATCAACCTCCTTCAAAGACACTTCCCCTCTCCTGTGGTGTTCCTCAGGGTTCCTCTTTGTCTCCCATTCTGTTTGCTATTTACATTAATGACCTTCCCCTCCTGATCCATCACTCCCAATACCACATCCATGCTGAGGATTTCCAAATATACCTGACCTTCCCCCTTCTGACCTATTAGCCGCAACAAGAAAGCTTCAAGAAGATTTAAATAGAATATATGACTGGGCAGGAGCTAACAAGCTGAAGTTGAATGCGGAAAAGACCAAGGCAATTCTAATAGGCTGCAATCACCTCCTCAAAACTGTTCCTAACTTTCCAACCCTGTTTCTACATGATAATCCCATCAAATTTTATCCCACCATCAAAAACCTTGGAATAATCTTCGACCAACCCTTTCCTGGAAAAACCATGTGTCCAATATCTCCCGACGTACCTTTTCCACCCTAAAACACTTAAATAGCCTGCGACACCTTTTTCCTTCTGAAATCCGTAGACTCCTAGTCACCTCCTTAATATTTCCCCACTTCGACTATTGCTGCACGGTATATGGAGACGTCTATGGGGATCTCGAGGCTAAACTAAAACGTTTGATAAATTGCTTTGTGCGATTCATCTTCGGGATCCCAAGAGACGCCCCTGTTTCCTGTTTCTATGAAGAGTTGAAGTGGCTTTATCCTTCCTACCGCCGTAAGTATTTCCTGGCATCCTTCCTCTTCCAAGTAATTTACTCCCGCCGTCCTTCATACATCGCCGAGCTCCTTCAATTTAAATCCTCTGTCCACTCCCGCAATACCCGTTCCCGGTCTTCAGACTTATATATAATGGCCCACCGAACCGCTGCTTTCGATAAATCTTTTATTATTCGATCCTCTTCCCTTTGGAACTCCATCCCTCCCCACATCCGTCAATCCAAAATCCTTCCTACCTTTAAATCCCAACTGTTTAATCATTTCTTATCCATTCAGTCATCATAAAATTGTAAATAGTTACTACTGTAAATATGTATATAAATTATTAGATCGTTCTTTATTTTTTTTACTTCATGTTTAATTTCAATTTTTTTACTTTTTATTATTAACTGATGTAAATTAGAAAGTAACTTTCTCATATTATAATAATATAATATAATATTAAAATAATATGATTTCTCATATTATTTTTTTTATTTATCTATTTTTTTTAAATTTCACTATTTAATTAAACTATATTCTT